GCTTTAATTTTCTTTGATTTGCTGCCAATGGGAAAAGTCATCAGTGAATATAACATCCATTACAACTGCTATGCTGAAGACACACAACTGTATGTCCAACTTCATCCCACTTTTAATGTGTCCCCCTGACTGTCCTCCCAGTCTGACATTAAACACTGATGCCCACAAATTTCCTCAGTCTGATTGACTTCAAATCGCAAATCATCTAATGGCTCTTTCTAGCTCCAGAAACAGTGATCATCATTATATGTCTGGGTTGGGCCCGTTAGCCACATAAGTTAAGCAAGATGTCTGAAATCTAAACTGTTTATCACTGGAGTCGCGTGCCCAACAAGAAAACTATGTCACATCACATGTGCCCATTTTCTACGGTAAATACAATTCAGAAGAGGAAATTCCATTGCAGAGGAAATGTTTCATTAGCAACAATAATTTCTCAGTTATCAGTAAAGGTATAAAGATGAAAATAATGATATAATAACAAAATGACACATATAGCTTCTAGCTCCTTCACATTTAAGAAATCAGCAGAAGGAGTTCTCAATCATGAGAAAAGGTTTCAGTACATTCTAAGTGCTGCTGATTCATATGCAGAGTTCACGGAGATAATCGTGACGCACAACTGTTCTCTTCACTTTTTCATGGCACTTAACTTTAAGTGACTCTTTATCTGACAAAGGAATTACGACAAGCTAGGAACGACTTGGATGATAATTAGCCAGGGAGAGTTGAACGACCTCAGTGTTGATCAACCCACCATAACATTGCAACAGATAAAACTATAAGAGCCTCAACACTCAGCTTTGCTTTGAACCTTTCGAACTCTGCTTCTAGATGCTGTATGACAAATCCTATTGGGGTTTCTAATAATCAATCCCAAACATTTATAAGAATTTATTCTCTCTTTTTATCTTCTTCTATTGATGCTGACTTTCTTGGGGAATATCTTTGATTACTCCTATTATTGGACTGTATAAAATGTTAAAAACATATTTTTGTCTTTAAGTGTGTTGGAAGGACAGTTGCATTTCTTACTTTAAGTCAAACCAAATAAAATGCTTTTGTATCCAACCACACATTTCACATCTGACCATAGCTAAAAGTGATGTTGACGACAAACTAATATTAACAAATCTGCATAATTCAGTAGCAAAATTCTGAACAGCAAACTGGGACACACTCTGGGTCTTTTTGCAAGTCACTTTGATTTAAAAAAAATTGTAATTTAATGGAGCCAAATTACAAAATATGTCTCATAGTTCAAGCTTGAAGGAATCTCCTTTATCTATTCATACCTTTTTTTATATTTACTAGGAAGGAAACATCACACCCAAAGTCAAAGTTCATTTCTGATGATTTGCTTGCTATGTCTCTCCCCTTAACTTAAACTCTGACCTTGGTGTTTTTTTTAATTACTCTAACATAGGTCTGTGAATGAATGAGTGACAGCCTTAGCCCATAAACTTGCAAGTTGTGTCACTACACCTTCACTCTGACAAAGTCCCTTAAGGTGTACAGCTCAGTCGCTGCTGGATCTGCCGCTAGAATCCACCGCTGGACCCTGTGATGTAAAGATTATTTTAGTAGACTTATACAATTCCAACCTACTGGCTATTTCTTTTTAAAATTTAGTCCTTTTTTTAAAAAAATTTTCAAGAGGAATATCTGCCTGCCATGGAGGAATCCCTGAATGGCACCATTGATCCGGCTTGTTTACAAGAGCCTCCACTGGCTATGGACATGATAAAGCGTGAGTGGCCCTCATTACTGCGACCTACTTGCTGACAATGTTTCCTTATCAACAAGTTAAAGCAAATGGCATTCATAGTTCACTCAGCCATTTCCTGAATAGCTGAATGAGTTTAAGAGTCTTGGTTTCTTCTTTAATTGTGGATGTGCCTATTTTCCAAAGGTCCTCAAAGTGACAATAAATAATCTGATTGACCTGAACAGTGCACAGGCATGAATTTATGGTTGTAAAGTTTCATCACAATGTCCATGTTGCTCTCTGATCAGATGCTTTTTTACTTCATTTGATGGAGGTTTTTAACTTCAAGAAAACCTCATTTGTGCTGCTTCTGTGTATTTTTGTTTGTGTCAATGTGGAAAACACTGTTAAATAATCCTTATAATAATAATGTTTCTCTCTCTCCTCTCTTTTTGTTTTCATTCAGACTTAGATACGTTTGGATTCTGCCTGTACGCCATGCTCACCTTCATGTCCTCTGTTTCCCTGCTGCTGTACCTGGAACAGTGTGTCTACATTTATAAAAAAGTGCAGTACCCCAAGAAGACCACCATCATTTGGATAAGCGGTGCAGCACCGGTAAGCAATCAGGCCCGATCAGACTTTTATAATATGCAGCTGATTCTCAAATTAAGCAGAAATATAATTATCATCAAGTTTCATGTTCTTCGATTCAGAGAAAATGCAACAACAACAAAAAAATCATGCTGCATTATCCTTAAAGTGCTGCTGATTTTGCAGTTGCATGTTTCTTATTCCTCTGTTTCAGGTCATTGCCACCATGGCTTGCTTCGGGATGTGGATCCCGAGAGCCGTCATGATCACAGACATGACGTCTAACTGGTGCGTTTTCCCTTGAACTACATTTAAATTAGTGTACGATAAATGTATTTTCTCATACAGTAGATGGTTTCTTTCACTGATATTTCTGAAAAAGCTTCTGTCCATATTCTAGGATAAATTATGATGAGATAGGTTGTGTTTTTAGTCTGACAAAACTTAGATCAATAGTTTTCATCGACAGAAAAGTGCCAACAAAACATCATGTGAGATTTTAAGTTCCAAGAAAATAATGTGTACTTGCAGATGTTCTCTCTTATCTGCATTGGCTTCCTTTTCTGATTTTATCCAACAACAGCTTCAAGTTTGTTATCTTAAAGCTACTGTGTGACCGACTTTGCAGCGAACTCAACTCTACTGTTATCTTGCTCGACATGTCTGCTTCTATATTATTTATCTTTTTATCAATAGCTTCTGACACAGCCAGCAGGCCACTGTAAATAAGGCTGGAGCCTGTGAAAAAAAAACACAAAACAGGAATTTTTCGTCTTAGCTTGAATTGTTGTTGTTAGAGAAGCATTATTTAAGTGACAAAATAAAAAAAATAAAAAAAGCTATGAAAAATTTAGAGCACTGCAGGAAGAACGATAAATCATTACACAGAGATTACGCCACATGACACATCATGCCGTGTTTTTTGGGGGATTTTCTTGTCATGTTTTAGCAAGCACAGGCTTTTCCAGTCATTTATTTACCATAATTAGGTACACGTTGTTATCTGTGAAGATTCATGACACTTAATATGATTAATCTGTGAGAATATACACGGTGTTACAGTCTGAGGTCAAGATGACTTTGAGAAGAATAATTTCTTGCGGTTATTTTGCATGATTGTCAACCAATCTCTGACGTTGGGTTACTGAATGTTTTCACAACTCTTCCTTTAACCCTAGAACACTAACGCCGGGTGATTTTCACCCGCACGATTGTTGTCATGTGATTTTCATTGTGTTGCTGCTGTCTGAGCTGCATGGGTCCTTGGGTAGCTTCAGGCTGCTCACTGATGTCATTAATGGTATGTTTGTTTCCCACCTCCCATCTATGGTTTTTTCAAGAGGCATGCGTTCGGGTGATTTTCACCCGGCGTTAGTGATAGAGGGCAAAATATTTTATAGGTGGAATTTACCCAATGTTAGTGTTTGTGTGTTGAAATCAGGCGCTCTTTGCACTTTTCAAGGGAAACAACATTCAGGCCGGCCACATTCTCCATACAGCTGTCATCCTGTCACAGGCCTAGTTTCTCTGCAATGCTAACAAGTGATTAACATGTAGCTAATGTTAGTTTACATCTGCAATCATTAGCTACGCAGAAATGTCCAGAAAATCAGTGAAATTCCTGACTGAGCACACTAATGTTAAAATTAGTAACACCATCACTAACGCTGGGTGTATTTTACCCGATATAATATTCCGGATAAAATATAGTTTTCATCAATTTATGTCAAAGTACAACACTGTATGACAAACTGTAGGACTGGGACATGTGAGCCTTGTCTGGTGAAGGCTCAGTTTGGTTCTGGTATGGAGTCTGTCTAAGGAAATTCATGTCGTCAAAAAAATTTGGTAATTTTTCCCCTCTCAAAAAATGCAATTTTTTGTCAATCTCTGCCACAGTTGTCAGTGATGCAGGAAGACTGTGCCTTCACCAGACAAGGCTCACATGTCCCAGGAATGGCTGGACCAAAGAACAAGTTCCCAGCGCCATTATTTTTTCTGTTTGGAAATTTGTCGTTAAGGATTACCTGATTTTTCAATAATTTTGCTGCCTTTTTATAGGGTGACCCATGGTACCTTGTTTTAATTTTATGGGAAATTAAAGAAGAGTACTACAATTTGTCATACAGTGTTGTACTTTTTCATAAATTAATGAAAACTATATTTTATTCAGATTATTATATCGGGTAAAATATACCCGGCGTTAGTGATAGTGTTACTATTTTTAGCGTTTAGTGTTGTAGGGTTAAAAAAATCCTTCAGCGTTTTCTTGTTTGTTTTCCCATTTCTAACCCCTAACAACATTTCAAAGGGATTCACATCTGAGCTTTGTGTAGGCCGTCCCATAACCATACATTTATGCTTTTTAAACCATTTCTTGGTGGATGTGTTGTGTGCTTAAGATCATTATCCCGCTAAACGGTTCAGTTTCAGTTCAACCTTATCAAATGGATTCACATTATCTTCAAGGACTCTTAGAAATGAAGCAGAATTTAGTAGAATCAATGACTAGAAGCTGCCCAGCATTTCTATGAGGTTCCTCTCCTGAAAAGCTGCTGTCACTGTGGCTAAACAACTCTTTATCTTTCATATGTCTGGTTTCTTATAGTCTGTACGTTCACTGACAAAGTGTAGTTTCTCCGTAGCGAGCAAAGCCTTTTTCCTGGCACATTGCCCCCGCAGGTCAAATTAATGCAATCTCTTTCTTATTGTACCTGCACGCACTTTGATAGCGACGGTTGCAAGAGTTACCTGCAGACTCCCTGAGGAACTTTTGAGGCTCACGGTGATTTCTTTTTGAATGCAACAGTCTGTTCTTGCGTTGAATTTCCTGGGGCAACCAGCTGTTTAGGCTCTATGCCAGTACAGTGGAATGATTTCACTGAAATAATTTGGAGATCTTTCTGAATCTCTTGTTGGCTTCTTGGGCTTCCCCGGTTTTTTTTTTTCTTTTCTGAAGGCCTTAGTGAGCTCTTCAGATCCTGGCAGGATACGCTTTAATATAAAGAGAACACCAAAAGCTAAATGTCAGATATGACCCACTGGAACCCCTAATTCTAATTTTAGAAATTTTAAAGTGTGATGAATGTACTTACTTTTTCCATGAGACTGATCATTTTTTATTTAAAAAAAAAAAGAAAGAAAAAAGGAGTTTTTTTTTTATTTTTTTTTTCCCTTTTTTTAATTTTTTAAGGGGATTCTTTTTTTAAAAAACCCCCCCCCCCCACCAAAAAAAACCCCAAACTTTTTTGCATTTTCTTCCTTTTTTAATTTTGTTTGCAATTTTAAAAATAATAAAAAAATTTTATTTTAAAAAAATGTGACAACGTGCTGCAAACCAACTCAGCTAAAATGTCACAAACTAAAAATAGAATTCATCACTCAGTGAAAGTGATATTTGACCCTTTCCTATGTATTTGCTTTCTCTGATTGGGCCTAAATTCTTTTCTGTCTGTAGTTATTTTGCAGTCGTGGTGTACAAGGTCTTGGTTCTGCTGATCGAGGAGTTGGGGGGCAGTAGTGCTTTTCTGGAGCGGTTTACTGGGACACCCTTTCGGATCAACACAGGACCCTGCTGCTGCTGCTGCCCCTGTTTACCCCGAGTCCCCATGTCACGGTATTTATACCTTTTATTACAGTCTGGGTACTATAGTTGTAAACTTAGTCGTGTGTTTTACTGCTACTGTTTCTAAACTGAATATTTATAATTAATTTTATCCATCGTTCTACATCTTTCTGTACATGACTGCACATTGTGTTTCGACTGTATACATTAATACTGTTGATCTGTTTGGTATTTTTCAGGCGAATGCTCTTCCTGCTGAAGATAGGGGCTCTTCAGTATGCAATCCTAAAATCAGTGCTTTCTGTGGTTTCTGTAATTCTGTGGACGAATGGAAACTTTGATCTTTCTGATGTAAGTGTTTGAAACACTTCTCTACATATTTAATTGTACTCATAGTAAATAACCACAACATTTAATTCAAATGTTTCTTTGTCTTCTTCAGCTGGAGATCACGGGTACGGCCATTTGGATCAACCCATTCATTGGTGTCCTCACCATCACCTCTCTTTGGCCTGTTGCCATCGTCTTCATGAACATTAACAGCTTTCTACGGAGCATTAAAATCATACCCAAATATGCCATGTACCAAGTGAGTCAACACCTCCAACACCGAACACGGCAGTGCTTCATGATACTGTCAATTAAAAAAATAAAACTAACAAAAACCATGAGCTGCTTTAGGTCGCATTTTAAATCGATAAATTATTCAGAAATTACAAGAATACTCCACTCTTCTGTATCAAAATGTTGTTTCTACCACATGATGAAGTTCATAATACTGTTCAGTGAAGCTAAAGATAAAAAGTTACATAGAAATAACAACAGAGTTTATGTGAAATTTAGTCCCACACCCCTACTCCTCCTAAATATTGACAATTAGAGATTCTATACAGTAAATCTTTAACTGAAGTTGTGAAGTTGAATAAAACAAGAAGTTCTCAACTTTAAAAAAAAAAAAAGGTAACTCCTATTTTGGGGCATAGCTGTCTATTATAATGTCTTATATCTCTGTCCGCAAAAACTCAAATGCTTGAAGTTTTCCTCTCCCTTTTTTATCTTCAATTGCTTCAAACATTAGATGTTTTTTGCGGACAGTGATATAGGGTTTTATGGTACACAGTTGGAAGTTATGGCCCTTCTTTCCAGGTAAGGCTGAATACTTTTCGAAGTACCCTGTTACTGTATATACAGTGAGTAACTGATCAATAATTGATTTTCTCCTCAGCTAATACTTGTACTGAGTCAGCTGCAGACATCAATCATTAACATCCTGTCCTTGGATGGAACCATCGCCTGTGCCCCTCCCTTGTCGTCTCAGGCTCGCGGCTCCAGTAAGAAACGTCTCTGAATGTCTTTCAGCATCTGCTGCTGGTTTTTAAAATGACATAATCGGTCTTTATTTTTCTCTGTGTGTCTGTCCTGCAGTGCTCAGTCAGCAGATGATGATCATGGAGATGTTCATCATCACTCTGATCAATCGGTTTTTGTACCGTCGCCCATACAACACAATTCCCTGTGAAGCACATGACAACAACCAGAACGGCAAAGTTGCCCTGCAGGCTGCTCTCGTAGAGCATGATGTCTGAAAAAACAAAAAAAACGATGGTACAACAGTAAGAAACATGGCTGTGCAGGATTATGTAAGTTTGGAGATCAACAAAAAGTCAACATTTGTTTGATATAATATTTTACCTCATCGTGTCATTCAAGGGTAACGGTCCAAGGACTACCTGGGAGACCTTTTGCCTTGTTCATTTGTACTTTTCACACTTGACATACTGACATTTGTTAACTGTATTCCCCAGATGATAAAATTTGTTTAACCAGAATTATTACTTTCAGCCCAGGAAACAGTCCCTTGAAAGATTTTCCACTGGGGGATGTGTAGGTTATCTGTTATCTACTGAGAAGGATCTATTAACTATTGTTTAAGTGTTTTCGTTTACCAACTGAAACTTCATTCTCTTTTACTGGAGTGGGGACAGAAATGCAATTAACACATATGTCAAAAATAAACAAACTTAGGGAGGATTATTTTTTTTTGGTTCTTTTTCTTGTTAGATGTGCCACCACCAGATAATTTAACCCTGAATACATTGAGTCGACGCCAACTTGCTCCTTCAAAGCTCACTCATAAACATAATGTTGTTTCTCATTTAAATCAGGCAGCAATTATGTGTGCTTTTCTTACTATTTCAGGCTGCAACTGAGTCTTTTTCTACAAAATACGTAATATACAGAGCAGTGTAACATCATACTGTATATATATGCATGTCATACTGGGACAAAAACATACAGAGGGTGACAGGGTGGCAGGATTACATTTGCCCAGAGTGTGGTAAATAAAAAAAAACAACACCTATTTATTTTTATTAATGTGTCTGTGTATGTGCGTGAGCTATATGTCAATGTTGAAATGATCTACAACAACATCTGATGTATTTTTTTGTAGTAAAGTGGGAACTAAACACAAACACGGTGTTCTGTTTGTTATTATGGCATGTTTTCACACTATACATACATTTAATTCAAAGCACATATTCTCAACATTTTAGGGATGTATTAGTACATTTTTCCTGTACATTTTTAAAAAAAATGCTGTTTCAATTTATTTTGTACTTCAAATTATATTTGTCTCTTCCTGCTGCAATCTGCTCGTTACAAAAAAACGACATTTTATTCAGACACTTTCAAAAGAGTTCCTCCTCAAAGCCTCTTCTGCATCTTAACACAGCCTGGAAAAATAGCCAGATTTATTCAAAGATGGCTGACCCACTTACAAAGACTTATTTGGGCCAGGGAATGCATGTGGATGAGACAGCAGCTTTATTTTCAGACTCGGTGCGCATTTTGAGAAAAGCGGTGCCACGTGCTGTTTCTGAAGCAGCCACAAGAGGCCACACATGATCCACCACAAAACATCATTCACTAAACTGCTCATTAAAAAAACAACCAATCGCCGCTCTTTAATTCACATTATTTATACATTATAAAAAAAAAACACGTGGGCTCATTTAATTCAGAGGAACACCCAGACATTATACATAGGAGATAACTGCTATGTTGCTCCAAACAGTTCACTGCATTTTTTTCCCCCTCTTGTTTTATGTAATCATTCTCAAAGGTTTGGTTTTCCTCGAGACTGTTGTTGACTTTGTTAAGATGCTTAAAAGGTCACAGGATCACTTTTAACTTGATCTTAGAATAGAAACATAAACACTTACACTTCCTATTAAGTTTTCCTATTAGTTTTTTTTACATTTTCTAGCATTACTTCTTGAAGCATGCAGCTCAGTTACTAGACGTAGAAAGACAATACTGTATACAGGCGTATAGGTCATCATCTCCCAAACTTGAATATAATAAATTGTTGCACTTAATCATAATATCTACTGATGAATAGGAATTTAATAAAACTGTTGACAGACTGGAAGGAGTTTCTGTGTGTCGCTGCAATACAATAGATGCGGCCGAGGCTAGTTTATTCAGAACAAGAGCAAATCCGTTCCATTAACAGAGCATCAGTCTGCATGTAGAGGTGCAACGCGTTAATCTGGATGAGATGTTTATGTAAAGCCAGATCATTCAGATTTCCAATTTTTTCCCTATTAATGGAGCATTTGTCTTTGCTGTTTATGTAAACAGAGTCATCAGACAGAGAGGAAGAGAAAGCTGCGTTCAGGGTGGGTTGATGACAGCCCCTGGCTCTGCATTGCTGACGAAAGCTGCTTAGCTCCTCTGTTGCTACGGCAACCGGGGAGAGCAGCCAGACAAAAAAAAAAAAAAAACGAGGCAAAGGGGAGGGGCTTTCAAGGGAGAAATAGAGGAGAAAGGGCTGGATGGGAAAGATAGACGGAGGGAGGGATACAGACGACTGATAAAGAAACACGCTGAGAGCAGCAGAGGTAGAGCGAGGCTGCAAACGGAGATAAAGGTCCGGATATACATGCTCCATCCACTGGCTGAGGAATAAGAACTGCAGCAATTGTAAGGGTACAAAGAAAAGGGGGGAAACAGAGAGAAGATGGATGTACAAACGGAGAACACGGACCCCCCGCCTTGTGAATCTCAGCCAAGTGGAAAAATCAGAAAAGGATTCAAGCTGTTTGGCAAACGCAAGCCAGGTAACATCTTTTCTATCCGAAGCAAAGGGGATGGAAACAACAAGTCACCTGTTATGAGGAGCAATACGCTTGATGGATTATCGGAGACCCCTGCACCAGATTCTGAGCAGGAGGCAGACAAGGAAAAGGGACAGGAGCTGAGTGACGGAGAGAGGGAGCAGGCAGACGAGGAACCACTTGGCGAAGATGGCGTTCTGGCTGCCGCTCACGCTCGCACCTCCATTTCTTCAGTCAGCTCGGCCAAATCCCTCAGCTTCCTGTCACTGCTGAGGGGTGGCCGAAGAGGAGTGGGGGACCGCCGAGTGCAAACTGTGTCCCAGCCGACGGGGAGACAGCGTCGAGGGCTGAAGGGTCTCTTCAGCAATGTTAAGTTCAGATCAAAGGATAAGGAGGACAAGGAGGAAGCCCCTCCGAGCCCACTTCTCATGTCATCCCGTGCCAACAGTGTGGAAATCATCAAAGAGGACCTCACCCTCACACCCAAATCCCAGCCTCGCTCTCTGGACAGCCCTGAGACTGAGAGCTATGAGCCCACCAAGAGTTTAGCAACTCCGGACAGTGCACCGACGTCCCCTTCAAAGTCTCCCCAAGTGAAAACAGTGAGTAAAACTAATGAGCATGTGTCACCTTTTCCCACCTCTGAACCGCCAATGGTCCCCGGTGATACGAGCCTGAGCTGTTTGCTCGCAGACATCTCCTCGCTCCTGACCTTTGACTCAATCACAGGGGGTGGAGATATTATGGCGGATGTGGAGGCAGAGTGGGGGAAAGCCAGCAGTGCTATCAGTCCTGTGTTAACTGAAGTCACGTCATCATCTACATCTCTCTTCTCCACACCCACCATCTCCTCTCCGCTGACTTCTACGGCCGTCAGCACTGCTGCTACAGCAAAGCCCTCTCCTGTAACCGTCCCCACAGCAGCTTCGACCCAATCCTTTACTCCTCTGACAAAGACACTTCCAACCTCCTCTCCCATTTCCAAGCCGAGCACCATCATCACAACTTTCACCAAATCTTCCACTTTGACTACTCACTCAGTCAAACTGAGCTCAGACTGTACTCCAGCCTCTGAGCCTTCTACCAGCACTCAAATTAAATCAACTCCTGCGCCCACTGTAACAAAACCCTCAACTACTCCTGTAACATTAGCAAGCCTTTCAGGTCCAACTAAGTCTTCCCCTTCTACAACAATTAAATCAACAACGAGCTCCACCTCCACAGCTACCACAGCTCCTCCGAACACTCCGGCCACTGTAGTCAAAGCTCCTTCAGCTAGTCCAACTCTTACCTCGACAGCTAGCAAACTGGCTTCAGAGACAGCAGCACCTCCTCAAATGATTTCTTCCGTGAGTAAACCTAGTTCTGTAGCTACTTCACCTCCTGCTAAACCTCCGCCAGTAACCCATAGCCCTCCCATCCCTGTTGCCATTACCCAACCTCCACCTGCTAAATTGGATTCAGCGAGCAGTGTGAACCTGCAAACATCCACTTCCTACAAACCCTCCGTAAGTTTGATTACAGGAGAATCTAAAACTCCAGTAACAGTATCACCACCCTGTGCAGTTACAGCCAAACCTTCTTCTCCTGCACCGGTTATTCTCTCCAAGATAACAACAGCTCCCACATCATCTACAACCTCACACTCAGTATCTGCAACCTTTTCCAAGCCCACAGTCACCTCTGCCCCAATGGACCTAACTAAAACCCCTTCCCTGCCTGTAACAGCTCCAGATCTATGTCCTTCCTCTACCTTAGCTTCCTCTAAAACCCAACCCAGCCCTGCATCTGTCCCAGCTCCATCGTCAACTTCTTCAGATAAGTTTCTTCCCATAACTAAACCCACCCCTGCACCAGTCTCTTTAGATAAGATGCCCCCAGCTCCCACACCCGTCCCAGCCCCCACCACTAATGCTGTTGCTTCTACAGCATCCCCAGCACCTCCTGTTTTGGGTCAGATCACAGTCTCTCAAGCTAAGGCACCTCCTGCTACTGTCCCAATCCCAGTTTCTGTATCTAAAGATCTGCCTCCACCTGCTCAAATGCAGGTTTCTCAAACTAAAGCCCCTCCCGCCCCAGCTCAAGTCCCAGTTTCTGTATCTAAAGATCCACCTGCTCCTGCTCAAATGCAAATTCCTCAATCTAAAGCCCCTCCTGCTCCTGCTCAGATTCCCGTTTCTGTATCTAAAGACTCTCCTGCTCCTGCTCAGATTCCAGTTTCTGTATCTAAAGCCCCTCCTGCCCCTATTTGTATCCCAACTTCTGCATCAAAAGAACTTCCTGCTCCTGTCCAGATCCCAGTTTCTCAGCCTAAAGCCCATCCTGCACCTCCCACTGCCCCTTGCCCCATCACATCTCCTCCTACTACCCCTGCACCTTGTCCGAGTGAAGCTCCAGCTTCTGCTAAGCTGAGGGGAAGTGGACTGGCATCAGTGGATGGGCAGCTGGCTAGCGTAAATAGCACAGGTGCACAGAGAGTCCAGGCGGTGCCATCTAAAACAGAAGAGCAGCATAATGAGCCCCCCAGAGAAAAAAGGACGGCCCAAGCAAAGGCGTCAGGGCTTAGCAAAATACCTGTCGTTGGAGGAGGCAGAGTGACCAAGCTACCTGTTCGAGACAACCAACACGCTGACGATGAACCAAGCAGGGACCCACCTACTCCTGTGATGGAAGAAGAGAGGCCCCATTTCAACTCACATGATGTAGGGAGCAAGGATAAAATTAGTGCTGTTGAGGCAAATGTGCCCACCTCAAAACACACCCAGGAGGAGAGTCAGCAGCTTCAACAACCGAAAGTCCTCACAAGTTCAGCGCGTGACTCCAAGATCCCTGTGAAGCACGGCGCTCAGTCTCACGCTGCCTCCCAGATCCCTCAGAGAGAACCCCCTCGCACCAAGATACCCGTATCCAAGGTCCCTGTCCGCAGGGTTGGTAACAAACCTGCAGGTTCAGGCAGCAGCACCCAGATGAGAAAATAAAAAACAACGGACTGAATGACACACGACACATCCTACGGCTCTGACTGCAAGTTTTTTTTCAGTACCACTCTTTTTAACTTCACATTTCTAGACTGTAACTCTGGCTCGTCTCTCTCTGTCATCTCTTGGCTTCACTCACACCACAAGCATCAGTATCAGAGTTGAGGAGGGCGACAGCACTCAAGCACAAAAAAACATCTCCACGGGGAGCCGAAGCAACAAGCCTGGCTCTTTGGTGCTGAGCCAACTGGACATGCACTCAGGAAAGGTTCGGGGTCACACCTGAACACACAGCAGCATCAGTAACTAAGGATAAGCAAGATAAAAGGTCGCCTGGGAACACAGTCACATTCACACAACATGGGCGAGTGCCTTTTTAAAGGGTGCTTTTCCTACAGACTCTCAGAATTTATTCAGTCTTTTCTACAGTACTTTTAACTTTTGTTACTCCCACTTTTTGTAGGAACCGTCAAGTCTTTTTGTCTTTCTTTTCCAGCAAGTCTCTTTGATAATAACCAGTCCCTTTACTTTTTATTTATGTCAGGAGATGAACCGCAGGAGCTCTATAAATTAATGCAACAACCAAATTTACATTCCACACCTATCTATGGATGTATGTAGCAGAAATCGTGCCATTAATTTTGCACATGATGTTGAACTGTACAGCGCCTGTGTGTCCATCTGCTCATATGTAACATTGTCAGATCTCACTGTGAACTATAGGAGGGACTGTGGTTTTTGAGGGCTCGGATTGGGAATAACTCTTCGGACAGTGGACAGCAGCCATTGTGAATGGCACCGTGGACATTTGAGCGAGACGGAGAGGACGGTGAGATGAGATCTAAAGCTCGTACACTGGCACATCTTTATCCTTACCCCAGCTATACTCAGATGAGAACAGTATCTCTGTGTAGAGACTCATCTATGTTGTTCTGTTTCCTATTTAATCAATAAAACAATATGCGTACTTAGCAAGACGAGATCTGTTGAAGTTGTGCGTTGTATATCCTGGTATAACTACTGTTTCAGCTTGCAAACAGATAAAAAAAATATGAGCCTGTGTAAATAATTCATTGCTTCTTGAGAGGAATACATTACGTGGAAGGAAATGACATAACTCTGTCATTTAGGGAACAGTTAAGTATGAGGATAAACAAAATGACAAAACATATTTTCACTTACTAATCCCCCACCCTGACGCACCATCTTACGACAGCCGAGGCTCAGATTGTCCTTTTTAGAAGCATCATTCCAACATCACTCCAAGCTCACTGACCTGAATAGTAAGCACATGAATGTCAGTAGAGCCGGGCCAATGAGCTGCAAGGGAAAACGCTTAACATGCATACCTTATTATCAGGAAAAAGGGTTCGGGAATGTGTGTCATTGCTATTCTTAGTGTAAAACGCACCTAATGGATCTGCTGTATAATTTCCCCTCCAACTGAGTGGATCATTTGCTTTGAACATGAGTTTAATATCACTGCAGAGGAGATCAGGCAGATAATTATTATAACAGCTAAGGCCTGAGTGAACTATCTATCCACAATGCTGTGCAATGACAGAAAAAAAGCTAGTAGTGATAAAAGCAGGTTAAAGATAGGAAGCTGATCTAAGTCATGGGGTAAAGTTAAGAGGAGTCGGGTGTTAGGAATAAGGCGTAAAGGACAAAGGGTGAATGCTTTTTTTTGTTGTTGTTTCACAAAAACGGGTTGCAGAGGTGAGACAAAAAGACCTCTGTTTGCTTTATGAGGCCAGAGGCTGCAAGCTGAGAAGAGAGGACCATCATTTGCACTGAGAAAAACACGAGGATTTCACCACATTAGGTGCTGATACAAACCAAACAGAGCAACACCGTCTCCCTGAGAAAAGAACAGCGTCTCCCTCAGGCTCTGACACAACACATGGTTGCTTCTCAGTAACACCTGTCATCTGGGATTAACGCATTTAAAAATTGGCTTATAGATTTATAATCACGCCTGGTAGAGCAGGAATCAGGCTGGTTAACAGGACAGAGGGATAAATTACAGAATGCCCTTCATTGCAATAAATTACTGCCGTGGAAATGAGTCCTATGGTTTTAAAAGAGGAACATTCTCAGTGAATGCTGCCTTTTGTCTGCATACATTCACATGATTTCCCTGCAATGTGTCTTTCATGCTAGTAAGTGACAGAAATAACAGCCTTGAGTGCAGGGCAACCACAGAACATGTTTGAAGGAAACTTTGGAGCTATATTGCATAAGCTGCCTCTGAGTACCTTTGCTTATGTACTGTTTGTGTGTTTCCCTGCAGACAGTCTCTCATATCTTTAAGGCCAGCCCCCTGCCCCAAATATGTTACACAAATTACAGCACCCACAAGGCACCGAGGCCACCCTGGCTTTCTATTGCCTGTATGTGTTTGTGTCGGTTTCTGCCTCTGGAGAGACGATGTGCCTCTTTAGAACCTAATTTAGCATGCTTCATTCTGTGTTTCCATGCCAACCCCACTAGGTCAACCAATGAAGGGCTGAGAGTGTCGGGAGGAGGGGTCTAAAAACATGAGTGCCTTAATGAGCACACATACAGTACATAAGAGCAGTTATCACATAGCGCACAAATTTAAACGGAATTATTATGGAGTGTAAAAATGCTTCAATGTAATTTTGAGGCCTATTTTACAGACTATAATCAAATTGCTTTAAACAGTTTCCAGAAATGCTCATTCTAAAAATGTGATGGTGGCATTATTCATCAACGCTCTAATGATATGAAAGTTCAACTGTTTAAAGGGTTACACATTTGGGAAACACAACACTATTGAGTTCTTTGATGATGCATTTGGTAAATTAAAAAAAACATATATTGCTATATTACATAATATCCGCAGGAAAATACACTATTGCACCATGTAGGAGACTAACAAAGCTTCCATTCAGTGCCACAACATAAAAAGCAAAGCCTTAGCAAAAGGGAAAGTTCACTTATCCCCTCCAGTGTGACCCGATCAGGTTTTCACAGCCACAATGTTTGACAAAATAAGCAACCGGAACATTTCAAAGATGTGATTCATAATCAGAATTATTTATTCATGACACATGTTGAGTATAAAAACCTGTACCATAGTGTCAGCTAAAAATCACAATATGTTTATGTACAAAATATAAAACATTAAATGTATTCAAAATATATAGAAATGCAGTCATTCAATTAGTTTCAAGGCTTATGTGTCATACAGTGCGACAGCCTGCGGATGAGATGTTCACCTGACCGATACCTCTCCACACAGAAGCAACAACTCATCTGTAACACTGTCAGCTCTGCAGCCGGAGCTGCACTCTACAGGAGTTAACCAACACTCAACCAGCACAAGACAAAACAGCGGAGCCCTGCAGTCTGTAAACCAACAGCTGGTGTTGAAGTGATCTTTCATTGTCAAATACAGTCAGCAAAGAGTCGAAGAACACACAGATCAAATACACGCATTTTAAACAAAATTACAAAAATGATTTTAAGGTTAATTGATTGTTTCTTTTTGCTTCTTAAAAGCAAGGCTCACGCTTGATATACATGTGCGTATAATTGCACTAATTTAAGTATTGCAAATATGATTCTTCAAGAACTGCTCATTTATGTAAGTGACTATGGGCCGACCAGCCAGAGCATTACGTCACCCCAGTGCAGCCACTCTGCACTGAGGACCTCTGCTGGTGGAAAAACACAATGACATACTTCAGTGTGAGAGGAAACATGCGGGTGATGCAGTAACATACAGCATCACCGCTGCACAACACGGCATCACCATGTCCGGCCTCCACCACAGATAGAGGGAGCTATCGGCACAGCGGGAGGCCTGAAACACAGCACCACTGTGACGTGGATCATTTTCTATGAGCGGAATACCAACAACTACAAAATAATCAATAATAATAAAATGTTAAAAAGTGCCAATAATCATCTTTCCTTCATGTATTACATGTGCACGTGTGGAGAAAAATTAATTTCATCAGAATGAAAGTGATTCAAATAGAGATGTATCAGGTTTTAAAGGAGTACTGATGGTGGATATTCAGTCCTGCTAGAAAACGAGCAGACAAGATCAGCTGATGCTGGCACCAGCAATCAGAATGACTGAGTGAAAACTGTAACACACTAATTTCATTTGAGCATTAGTGACAATATAAAAGCAATAAATCTGAGTTGAAACAAAAAAAAAACATTCATTCTGGCAATCACAAGTACAGAGAGGATTATCTTAAACAAAGGGAGCTGTGATGCAGCCTGACAATCAAAGGAAATACTTTTCAGTCTGACTGAAAATGTGGCGTTCATTTGGATGCAGAGATAATGGAAACGTAAGAAGGAAAAGAAACAGAGGTGGTTTGCACATGTCTCATATAGACAAACTGCTATAGAGAAGCAGCATCAGTGTGTACCGCAGTTTAGGAGTGACTTTCTGTTCATTTAGAAGCTTCCCTGATTAAGTTTAGATAGAACAAAAGCCAAACATAACAAGAAGAGAGTGTGTCAAGCAGAGATTTTGCATAAGGAAGGAAAAACTTTACATCTAAACTGTTGTGAGATTTAATAATGCTTAAGCCACTCACGGTACAAAAATAAGTTTAAGAAAAAAGTAAATAGCTTAATTATGAACCTGTATACCGGTTCTTTTGATTGTTTTACACATGATTACATTATAAAGTGTGCATCTGAGCTTGATTTGCCCTCATGCTCATGTATAGCAGGCTACAAGTGTAAACAGAAGCTAATGTTGAGTTGACCTGATGAATATCCGTCTCAGCGCTACACACAGTGTGTTTGCTGTTAAGAGCAGGGTGCTAAAAGTCCTCTTGTGTTTAGTAAAGTGAGCGCTTTGGCCTCAGATCTGTTACACCATGAAGTGCATGTGTCCTTCAGCACCCGTTACAATAACATCCATCCAGATTCGCATGGCCTCAGGAGACGGAGCCACCATGTAGTACACCCGATCGTGGGTCTTCACACTGAAGGTCAGCGAGGGGTTGGGGCTCTTGTGTGCGGAGAGCAAATGTAATTAAAAAAAAAAAAAAATTAAATAATAGAGAGTGATTGAGAGGGGAGACAGATGAGGGGATGCATGTGCGGGAGGGAGAAGAGCAGAGGACAAACAGATGTCAGTATTTACCAAAAATGAGGCCATGTGTACATGATGCCATATGTTAAAAATCACAGACGCACAAACGCACACATGCATATAAACCGACTTACTTTGTGTGCATTCTTCAAATGGTCATAGTACACCTCCTCTATGGCTTGGAAGTAAATGACTCCTTTCATCTTGGTCTCATGTTTGTCTGCAGCGGAGAACATAAACAGAACTGTGATCAAAGCTTCTTCTCTGCATCCAAAATATCCTGGCAAAGCTTCAACACGACGTCACCGCTGCAGGAACTTGGTCTCAGACTCTAAGCTGCACTTTAACAGACCTTACGCTCACCTGCATAATATGTGAGCGTCCTTCGATTCTGGTCGAAGACGAACCAGCGTTTCTTCCATGTCTTGATCTTTCCTCCCATTTTGACCAAGAATCCTCGACAGGTTTTATCAGTGATGGCCAGATGAAAGCAGGCGTCTGGGTTGTGTCCAGCTGCCTCGATATGGCCGTGAAGATCAAAGTCGTCCTTTCTTACAGGGAGGTAGCGAGTCAACAGTCTGGACTATGGAGAAAGCAACGGGATTAGCGGTTCTGTTTGGTTGAAAATGGTGAAGGAAACTTTCCAGAAGTGCTTTTGAATACCTGTGATCTCTGTTTCTCCCTGAGCTTCACTTCCCTCTCTACGAGTTTCTGCCTCCTGCTCGTCTCCTCCTGCAGCCGTTTCTCCAGTTCCTCCCTTCTTCTTCGCTCCTCCTCCAGAGCCTGCCTTCGCACCTCCATCTCCCGCTCCTGCACACACACCACATGAATTACATCCATCGTCAACCACACACATCCACGTACAGGGAAAGTTTTGGTTTGGTTTGGCT